TAAAACAGCTACAAGGCCAACCAAAATGCTGTACAGACAGAAAAACAGGCAACACACAAAGCAATATACAAAATGACGTAAATCAGAATATAGACATAAAAACATAAAATGTAAACACCAGTTAAGGACAACGATTAGATTTTAAACTAATATGAAATTAAACTTTCTGAGAGGAGAAAAATGCAGTGACCTATTGTAGACGTCTCAGCAAATCTGCTTTAAATTAAAAAAATATTTTAGTTGTCAAGATCCCTTTGTTCAAAATTACCTACTCATCTAAAGCAATACTTGCTTCCTCACAAGTATCATCAGGTTCACTTCTACCCAGCAACATATCCATATCAGTTCTCTGTCTTAGCATGCTTATAGGAACCTAAATTGGCTGGAGGAAGCTTGGCAGGAGCCTCTTATTGGTTGATTTACCATATAATGCCAAGTGTTATTGTGTTAGTGAAGTCCTACACACAAGCTGTCCTGCTTCTCAGTCTCCCTCTCTCAAACTTCACAACAGTGCGTATCCTCCCTCGAGGACGAGTGTAGGAGGCAGCAGAGTGGGTGGTTCAATCAGGAAGGGTAGCGATCGGATAAACTGGAAGTGACTGAATTGGAGACGTGAGGTCCTCCAGTTAAATTCAAGGCATGCCGTCACATGCAAAGCAGACGGACTGAGGGAACACAAATGGACGTTTTCATGTAGATTTGTTCCAAGTTTTTAGATATCCAATTTGAATGTGAGAAAACAAGTTTGTCATTTAGATTTTAAAAGAAATTAATCTCTTTTTTTTTCTTCCAGACTATTCTTATTTTCCTAAGAGATAGGCAATCCAATGCTGGCAGTAAAAATATGATTTAAGGAAGGACTGCTGGGTAGTGATCATTTATAAATGCGCGTTTGTTTTTCCTTAACTTTAAACTTACTGTCAATGTAGAGGTTAGACATTAAGGACATATTTGGGTACTCCATAAAGCCCATTAAACATGGCTCTACAGTCAAGAAACTATAGAAAAAAATTGCATTACTTGGACAAAAGGTTGCAAAAATGTGTGAGCTAGTATTCAGACACGGCAACAAAAGATACCAAGACACAAGAACGAGAAAAACTGTCTAACTTAAACTAAATAAAAGTCAGATATAGCAGCCAAAGCATTACCGATTCAGTCCTCAATCCTGATCCTCGAGGACCAGGACTGAGGACCATTGGTTTATCGACTGCTGTTTTTGGTCATCACGGACTGTTGCATCCAGATGTGATTTTGAATCCCCATCAAAGGCAGATGATACTGTTTTTGTCCGAGTGTGTGTTTGCAAAACATCTCATGAGTCACTGGATGAATTTTCATAAAACCCTCAGAAGTCGTCACTGGTTGCATATCTACAACTGGTTTCCCTTTGGAGTCAATCAGATTCAAGATGGCCACCACAGCTAAACAATCTCAATACAAAAACTAGAGAAAATGCATTTCCTCCAAAAATGCAGTGTGAATGCTTATTGCTGAAGAACTTGCTGAAAACAGCTTAAATTAGCTAAAGGCATGCTGAAATGTAGCTGAAATGGAAGAACAGCCTAAGTTAGCAGAAGAAAACAGAAAGAACATATATTTGCTGAATTGTGTTTTAATAAGCAGAAATGAGCATAAAAATTAGGAAATTAGCTAAATAAATAAAAAAGCCTAAATTACCACAAAATAGCTGTAAAGTGGCTGAAAAGGCAGAAAGAAGCTTAAACTACCAAAAGGAAGTGGAAGGAGTGGAAATTAGCTATAAAAAAAAAAGTGGAATTCATTGAAAAGGCTAAATTTAGCACAAAAACAGCTAAATAGTTGAAATAGCAGAATAAGCTGAAACTAACAGAAAAAAGTTGAAAGGAGCATAACAAGCTGAAATTAGCAGAAACAAATTAATTAAGCTGAAAGTAGCAGAAATTAAGTTTTTATCCATCTTTCCAAGGTAAGACCTGAAAAAAACGGAGTGTCTCTAGCGGTCACTGTGCAGTCACCCACACCTTTCATTGAGGCGAGTGAGAGGCAGCTGTATTTCAGACAGGTCATCAGATCTGGTGGTTTCATCTGAACTCCATCATCGTACTCACTAACATCTCCTTGTGTAACACAATAACCCAGATTGGGATGATGGTTACCGCTGCACGTCTCATGGGCGCTTTTATTGTGATTTTTCTTTGTGTCTTTTGAAGGCCTGTAGCGCCTAAAGCAGAAAATTGATTGTATCTTTGTTTTCAGATGTCTCCTGATTTAAATCAGCAGAACGGTTCGTAAATCCTGTATGCCAAATAAACGATGACATTTTAGTACACAACCTAATTTAAAACAGTTTTTCAGGAACTCCCCACCGATTAAATAACAAAAAACACGAACGGTGCGTGAATGTGTTGTGTTTTATCCCATGTCTCTGTGTGAGCCTGAATAATTCGTTGTGTCTCCAGGTAATTTGGGCCAATCGCAGGAGAATGCACTGTTGTGGAGATTTGCATTCGCTAATTAAATTGTCAAGAGTAATTCTTCTTCACGTGGCACTTGATTAAAATGAACCAGATTAATAATTAATTTCAACCCACAATTATTGCTCTGTGAAGTTTTGAACGTTAGAGGTATTTGAACGAATCTCTGCTCGTTTATTTGGATGTTCGTCACGCACAAACATTCGGGTCTGGTTTGGAAAAACGGTCGGTGCTGAACAGATGACATGTGGTGGTAATTACTTTGGCTTTTGCCAACACACACACGCACAAACACACACATGTTCATTAAAGCTTTATTTATACAGGTTAATCCCATTGAGCCTCGGGGGCTCCTTTACAAGAGAGACCTGGTTTTAACAAAGAATGATGACAACAGTGGACAACAAAGACAACAACAGACCATCATAAAGGATGTGTACAAATTGAGATTTTTTTAACAAGTGAAAATAAAATGGTATTTAAAAGAAAATGTAACAAAAAAAAAACAGCTAGGTTGTAGGGCAGTGTAAAATACTACAAACAGGAACATGTCTGCATTGGTTTTTGCCCGAAACTTAGATGTTTAAAGCCACTTAGAGAGGTGAAGGTCGAGAGCTTCAGATCTTTTTGCAAGATATTCCAGGAAACAGGAACGGAGTGGGAGAAGGCCCTTTTGCCTAGTTCAGTCCTCACTGAGGGAACACTGCAGGTAATAATGTCCTTGGAGCGCACGCTGCAGCTGCACTCACTCAGTGACATGTAGGAGGAGATGTATGAAGGCAGCAGACCAAGAAGTGACTTAAAGATGAAAATGTACCAGTGAGAGAGTCTGTGTGAGGTTAATGGTGACCAGTTAACCAGTGAATACAGGGTGCAGTGGTGGGTACGGTAGTTACAGCCAGTTATGACTCTTAGCACATACAGGCTTTAGCCTCATTCCCATCTAAATTAAGGACATAGCTTTCCTATATAAAATGTATATTGTGACAAAGTTTTAGAATAAAATGATCTTAGGTTGAGAAAGGTTGGAGTTGTTCCCATTCTGGTGAAACCTTGTGAACCACTTTATGCACCATTTTTGTAACACAGGGTGCGATCTCGTAAGAACGCATTAGCAATCAGATAATGTGTTGAGAATCACTCTCAGCACCTGCCACAGCAAAATTAGCTCTTATCTTAAAACAATGAAGTGGGGGTGGGGTGGGGGGAGTGGTGGTGCAGTGGTTAGAGAAGGCGAGCCTGTGATAGGATGGTCGCCAGTTCGAATCCCCCCCGAAGCACTCGCACCCTCACCAATATGCCCACTCTGGGCCCCTGACCAAAGCCCCCAAACCCCCTCCTCTGCTCCCCTGGGTCCCCAAGATGGCAGCCCTCTGCTTCACACATTCAAAAGGGCCTTCTCCTACTCCGCTCCTGTTTCCTGGAAAATCTTGCAAAAAGATTTGAAGCCCTCGACCTTGACCTCTCTAAGTGGCTTTAAGAATCTGTTGGACTCCTGGCAGGGTCCAATGCAGACATGTTCCTGTTTTTAGTTTTCTACATTCGCCTTATAATTAGCTGTTTTTGATACTTTTTTTTTTTTTGCCATCTTATTCATTAAAAAAAAAAATCTTTATGCCTTTTTATAACTGTCTGTTGTTGCCGCTGTTGTCCATTGTTGTCATCATTCTTTACTGAAACCAGGTCTCTCTTGTAAATGAGTCCTCGGGGCTCAGTGGGATTAACCTGTCTAAATAAAAGTTGAATGAACATGTGGGCTGTGGTGTGGTTGCAAAAATAGTCACACAAACATATAGCAAGATTTGTATGTGTACAATAAGGTCCACAAGTGTACCACAAGGTTCACAAATGTGCACAGCAAGTCACAAATGCAGCAGTAAGGATGTCTCAAAAGTCTCATTCACATGCAAGCTGATCCATGCACTGTTGACTGATCTGTCCACAGCAAGGAATTTGTGCACGTGTATATATGTCTGCACTGAACATTCCTAATTCCTACTTGTGCATTTTGAAATGTGCACACTTGAAAAACTGTTTGTGCATTTGTGAATCTTGTGGTACGCTTTTGGATCTTATTGTATGCATACAAATCATGTTGTCCGCTTGCAGGGCTACTTTTGAGATTAATTTATGTCTGTTCTGTTGTAGCTCGGTGGTTGAATCAGGAAGGGTATCAGGTGTAAAAACGATTGCCAAATCTTCATGTGAGTTCACTTGTTGAGGCGACCCCTAAAGAAGGGAGCAGCCGAACGAAAGACAAAAACTTCATAAAATGCACAGAGTTATAGCAATTTTTGAGTTGGCTATGGTAAAAAATAATCATGGGAGACATCTTGAATTATATTAACTCCAAATCAGTTGAATATTGTGGTTAAGGAAGTTTCAGTGGATTTTGTCCATTGGTTCAGGAGACATTTTGCTAACACACTGACAAGTTTGACACCAACAGTTAATTAAAAATGTATAATCAGAAATATTGCACACTGAATAGATGTGGATAACAATAAGAAGAACTGAATTCCTTCTCTCTGTGCCTTTCTTAAGGGCCCATGCAGGAGACAGTGTTCGACTTCTGGAGGATGGTGTGGCAGGAGAATACAGCCGCTATCGTCATGGTGACCAACCTGGTGGAAGTGGGCAGGGTGGGTATTAATTACCGTCACAAGATCTCAAATAGGATTAGCCGATTCTCAGTCGACTGACAGCTTGATTGTATCTGGAGGCAAGCTGAGACATCTTTTATGTTGTTAATGTCTTTGAACATCAGTGTCCAGATGTTGCTGTGTGTGCGTATGTGTGCGAGTGTGTTCGAACTTAGTGAGGTATGGGACTCGTGTGCCGCCAGCTCTTTTTCCATCTATCTGATCAGTGAGAAGTGAAAAGAAACTGATTGATGGCCTTCATTACCAGAGAGGCATCCAGGCGACTGACTACGGTTTCATCTGAGTGGCTCTATAACAGAAGATTAGACTCTGCTGAAGCCGCCAGCTTAGCCGGGCTCTCCGGAACAGAAACACCTCTTAATGTTGTCCTTATTGGACAAAAGGGGGCTATCATTGAGTCTGAAAGTCCTTTTATAATGTTCAAACTAATGTTAGCCACGATGGTTAACTCAAGAGCGCTGCCTTTGTTCTAATTTGTTCCACTTATCTCACGCTCTGCCTACTTCTACATAGATTACAATCAAGAGTGAAGAATGAAAAATGAAAGTTGTAACTCACAGTTTTATGCTTTGACAGCCAGGGATTCATTTTTTTTTTTTTTCCTAGGAAATTTAAACACATTTGTACTAGAAAACCCTTTAAACGCGTACACACCTTGATTTTGCTGAAGTGCATTTTTTTTGGTGGGGCTTAAATGTACCAGAGCTGATAATGAGTAACGGGCCCATCTCCAGGTGCCTCATTAAGCTTTCCTACAGTAGCTGAGCCCAGCCTGCCCCGCCCCACACCTTCTTTACACCTGCTTAGCTTCGGTGGCGTCCTCTGAGAGCCCCCAAACCGTCTGTTATATGATCCTTATCCAATGGCGGTGCGGAAGGCGCATTTGGTCACAGAGACCACAGAGGGGTCCCATAAAATCACTCCGCCATATCACGGTGGGCCATCTGCTCGGCACAGTTGCTGATGCACTCTGGGAAATCCTGGCACGTACACAGACAGACACACACAGCCTCTGTCTCGACACTTCCACACACCGGGGGTGGCACTTGGCGCACTTTGATGTGCAAGAGATTTGGTTTGGAGGAGTTAGCTTGTTGGTGTGTGTGACGAGGTGACTCTTCCTCCCTCCACATACTTTATCCACATTAGAGAATGGCGTCCCTTTCGTTGCACATGCCTGTAAGTGCGCCCACAAACGAACATCTGCGTGGCGTGTTTCAGCCCTGAGGCTAGATCCCTCCATACCAGGCGTTTGATTCAGAGCGATCTAATAAGATAATGGCTTTTGGCTAATTCAATCTAGCTGGAAGCGGACGGTGGATTTGTGATTGTCATCAGGGATTACTCATCAGGGGTGTCAGGGAGAGGGACCGAAAAGTGTCTCCCCCCTCCACCCTTTTTGTTTGTGTCATTCCACAAACCCAAATCTCATTTCATTCGTAATCAGATGCTCGAAAGAAAAATTAAATCTACTTGAAGCCGATGTGCCATTTATCCCTCGTCAGAAATTATCATCCTCTGATCCGTGATCTCCATCTCTGTCACCAGTCTTACTCCACTAGTAGCAGCAGTTTAATTGAACGGGGGGAGGTAATTTTGCACTCATGATATCTAATACAAGGACTATTTCCAATGAGATGTTTTAGATTTCAGTAGGGAAATCTATTTGAAACAGCTGAGTTATTAGTTCATGTCATTACAGGATTATCATTATACCCCCCTCATTTGATATTTGCACTTTATTTTGTCGTTATTGTCACTATTAAGCAAATTTTGAAGGTGAGAATATATAAAAAATAACATTGGTATCTAGCCTGCTGCATTTCGGCTTTGTGCACAATCCATCTTTAGACTCATTTTCACGTTATCGATGTGAGAATGAAAAAGCAATAAAGTGCGAATGAAGTCTCCATCAATGCATGAGCTACCCATTTACAGTGGATCCTTGACCGGGGGAGAGAGAAAAAACCTAATACGAAACAAATCTCATTTTGATTTGAAAGAAATGGTTCACAAACTGAACTATCAGGTGGCAAATTGGAGGTAATGTTATGTGACAACCCACGGTGGGGAGAGAATGACGGCCCAGAAAAACGTGCAGGAAATTATAGAAATGGGAGCGGTGGCTTAAAGCAACGTGAATGCAAATGAAATTAGGATGTGATGTAAAACAGCTGGTGTTCCGACTCCCAGGTGAAGTGCTGCAAGTACTGGCCCGATGACACGGAGATCTACAGAGACATCAAGGTGACGCTGATAGAGACCGAGCTCCTGTCGGAGTATGTCATCAGAACCTTTGCTGTGGAGAAGGTACTCTTCTCTTTTTCAAACTTACAAACACTTCTTCACGTCACCTGTTTTAACGTCATCAAATAAATCAAAATCAAAAAAAACAAATCAAATAAGTTGGTTATAAAAACTTCAAGAGCAGCTTCAGAGCTGCTGCGGTGCTTCGAAGAGGAAGAGTTTGTAAAGTTCCTTTTGCTTCTTATCAAAAGCATTTTTAAATATTTCTCAAGGACACTGAAATGCTTTTCCACTGAATGTGATGAATATCACTTTAATAGTTCACTTATTTCAGTCATTTGCTTTCATACAACTAACATCTTGGTTTTTTTTTTTTTTTTTTACTTGTTGCAGGAGGGACTTGAAATATATATTTATATCTCCTTTTTGCCACAAATATTGACAAAATTGAATGATTAGAAAATTAAAACCCAGCATTGCTTGAAGGAATTCATGTCACCCGACAACTTTCAGACCTGAGTTTTATGCTAAGTTTTGTGTTACATTACAAGATTTGCCAAAAGTGCATCCATAGATGACTCTCAGCTACTACCACCCCAAATTTTAACTAAATATCTGTCAAACTGATTAAATTATAGCCATTTTTGTGTTGGTCTATGTTAATTAACAGTGGTGGCCACCTTGAACTGAACTGACTCCAAACATTAATCAGCTATCGAAGTACAGAAGTCCCTCGCTACTTTGCAGTTCGTTTTTCACGGACTCGCTCTATCGTGGTTTTTCAAAATAAAATTGGACATGACTCACATTTTGGCTGATTGATGGATGAGCCGCACGATGGGCGTGAAATTTTTATTTTAAATAAATTATTTTTAATTATTTAGCACCTGATGCACCTGTGTGCAGCCCATATTGCAGGATAAACTTGCTTCTGCAGCTTCTCCTCCCTCCTTCCTCCTCCTCT